TGTCTCGTTAAGACTGATCGTTTCGAAATGATTGAAATGATTTCTGCAATAAAACACGCTCCGTTGTAAACTCTCGAACCACGTATCTGCATAATACACGGTAATAACGCGTTAACGTCAAAGGAGAGCCGATTGATCGATAATGTGTGTACAATTATGCGCGTTACCGATCGAGTCATTTATCTATGTACGCACGAGGTCTGACTCGACAATATCGGCGGTGAGAAGTCTGTTGGTCCGTCTCTTTCGTATCGTCAGATCTCGTACGTACGGGAGTTATTAAACTTTCCTTTTTTTAACAAAATCCAATAGTTGCCACATTTCTCGTATGCAACAATCGTGCGAGACACTTTTTGCACATCTTTTCACGATATTAAAAATGCAAGAATTTTCACGATATCGAGTGAGAATTTGATTTAAATTAAAAAAAAAAAATTAAAAATTAAAAAACTCAACGCACCTATCGTCGTCAATATATTCTCATCGTCGTATTATTATTCCGTAGGAACGTAAATGGACTAGCCTTGTCACAAACGAGGAACGAACTTCCTTATAATCCGAACGAAATTTAAGGCTTTTTCTTGAAGGCTTTTTCGCAAGAATCTGGCAGCAGTCCTACGAGACACATCGAGATCAGATTCGTACCACTCAGATCGATTACTATATTTTTTTTTTTAGTAACTTCATCTCATATAATCGAAATATACTAATCGTACATGATGATAAATCGATTTATTTCGATGTTGTTTCGATCATTATTTCGAAATACACGTTAATGCATGCGAAAAGGTCTCGACAATGCAATGAATTTAATGATCTTTTTGCTAAATTGTGATAGTGAGATGTGTGTTATCTATATGAAGATCTATGAATTTCTAAGCGATTCTAATTGATAATTTCGAGAAATCGTTTGATTCTCTTCGGCGAGAAGAAAAGGAGAAGCGAAAGAAAAGGAAAGAAGAGAAAAAGGGAAGGAGGGGGTAAATCCAAAGCGTGTTAAACTCGTTACAACCGTGATCCCTAAAGTCTAAAGCCAGATACAGAGAATACTGTGGCTCGCTGTACTGGCTTGTTGAAAGTATTTGCATTATGCATGGAAATCTACTACCTCCCGCTAGGTTTACCTTTTTCAAACCGCGAACATTATCTCGTCGTATGAAAATATCATCAGATATCCTTGTAAAACTAACCCATTAAACGTCGATATCGTTTCTAATGGATATCTGTATTTTTTCTTCTTCTTTTTTTTTTTTTTTTTTTTTTT